AGACAACTTTTAATTTTGCATATTGAAAAACCTACTGGCCAAACGAAAAATTGTATGCGTCTTCGATCTAGTTCGTACTGTGGCACATAAGATTACCATCTTCATTCGCTAATAATAAATTGGTACATAGATTTATAGAAGGTAATTGTAAAGCTGCATTTCTCGAACGATAAGAACGGCCTCGTCCTATTGGCCGGTTAAATCGTCTTCGAGAAAGTCACACGATTCGCTGACACAAAATCTCTGAAACCAGTTTATGGAATGGTAAAAAGGATCCCGATCACATGTTCGGCAAACGTGACCGCCACGAACAGCCCTTACGACGGAGTCTTTCTGGCCTTTCACTGTCCTCATTATTGCCCAGGGAACGAGCACGGGGCTCCTACATTTGTTGCACTTCGTTCGATAGGAAAAATTATTGCATAAGAAGGTCTGTTTCACGCTCGTGGCCCCGTGACTAGAACCGTCGAACGAGACCATGATCCGGCTATCGATTTTGCTCGCAGTTCCGCCACGAATGATGCCAAGGAAGCGTTGTATTAACGAAATATAAAATCCGATATGATTTTACTCGCAATTATAATCAATCCTGAACTAAAGACATACATATATTTTTGATTTTTTAATTCTGACTATTTTGTCCGGTAATTGTTCCAGAATTTCTAGAATTGTACGTACTTTAATAATAGAGTTTATTACCAAAATTTTACAATTTGAAATTATGGGAAAATCAGTGCGGAAAACTTCGCTATTATGCAATTAATGATAGATATGTTCGATCATTGTATGGTATAACATCCTTTTCCCTCGGAGGGACATCACGTTTCATTCCTCATTCGGTAGTTGCAGCGTGTACAATTTTATTCGAAAAGCAACACGTGAGAATTCAGAGTCTATATTTATCTGTTTGTATCAATAGCCGAGTCGCCCACAGTGTTGTTCTTTGTATTTATAGGGGATGTTACATCCATGATGATTAATTAAAAAGGAAAGAAAAAAAAAGCTCGAAATATAACATACACTTGTTAAACTAAACAAAGCTCGAAACAAATTTTTCTGAAATATCAAAAATATACAGTGTTGTACATTATAAAACCTTGTGACTTGGAACTTTCTTCATTCAAATTGCGACCTCCTGTTATTTTACGACTAACTGAATTAAAGTGATTGCTTCTGTTAGATATTACAAAATTATCGATTAAATATTTACATCTTATTTCGTAAGTTCTTCGCGATTGGTTAATTTCACGAGAAATATTTCAGACACTTTCGTTAAAGCGGTAATCGGCGATCTTGCGTATATTTTGCATTCGTTCATTCGACCTGTTTTCATTCGGTTTCGCAATCAACGCTTAGGTGTATTAAATGCGAACGTGGAAATGCAACCGGCATGCTTCGCCAAGAAACTAGTTAGCCTTAACCATAGTGTTCGAGTTTCTATCCTTATTCTTCTCGCACCGGCTGTACTTTTCATCTATCTCCCACCAATATCACCAACAAAGCGTGTCAATGCCAAGAATCCTGAGCTAACGCCGTGCAGAGAGATTGCATATCCTAGCGATCCTAATAGGGAAAATATCCTACGATATCTTATACGTTTTCAATCTGTTTAATTGGAGAATTATTTGGATGATTTTGATATATAAAATAAATTTATGTATATTTGCAAAATATCCATGCAAAGAACTGTGAAGTGCTTTCTCAAATATTAAAGGAGAAAAATCTATCGACATTTGGATAGTTCAATTAAATCTGATGAAACAATTATTCCAGAGACCAGAAGCTCAAATTTCAAAGCTTGAATAATCTGATCGATCAATTCGATTAAAATTTATCCTTCAAGCTGCGCAATAATTCTTGAAGTATGGAACTTGAAATTTATTGAGATTAATTGAAGAAACGAATTGATCGATCGTTCATTTAAGCCATTAAAAAGACTAAATTTTGTGTATTAAAAGAACCACATGGAGCATAAGAAAATCAGAGATTTCTTTGGGTTCGCAGGTACAAATGATTGTGAAATTCTTTCACATCGTTCGTTCTGATATATCCAACGCGCGCATTTTTCAATTAATCTATCGTCTAGCACGGATTTCACAGATGTTTAATCAACTGTTTATTTTTATTTGAACGTGCAGGAATATATTTTACAAATCGAGATTTAATGAGTTGCAGGAGTAAAGTAGAGATCGGAAAATACAAAAAGAAGGAAACGATCAGAAAGAAGAGATTGCGCCTCGATAAGCGTGAAATATTTCTGTACGAGTTGAAGCCATATTAAAATAGCAATTCAATTAGCATGTGCAATTTTTCCAATCTGGTATCCAGTTAAACAATATTCACGACTCGGAATCTGATAAACGTACATTAAATGTTTGCATATAGTTCATAGACAGTGTATATAATTGAATAACAATGAATGCTTCGCAGCAATTCATAGAACTTCTTGCCTTCATTATTTGTGTTCTATATTAATTCTATATTTGTGTTCTATATTAGTTCTATATTAGTTACTTAGGTATGCTAATTCTCGTCTAAAGAAAGTATACTCTGCGTATAATTTATTACGTAAATGTACTTAATATCAGAATCATGTATATTTCAAGTGATATAATAAAATTGAAATTTTTTCATTCCCAATAAACTAATAATTTTCAACATTATTTTACCTTATAGTTAATTTTTTTAGTCACTATTTGCTGCACCATGTGCATTATTTCAAACTAAAATGATACAAGAATATATTAATACTTATTAGTACATTTTTTATGTTAATAGCATTGCAAAAAAGAATGGGAAATTTCATTGTATTGTAAATGTGAAACTGGAAAGTTCACGCTTCACGTTAATAATTATTAGATGAATTGTAAAATTAATTTTGTATGAGAAAATATCTTCTTTTAATTATAGACGTATTAATAAAATGTAGCATGATGTGAGTTTACCAATCAAGATCAATATGACGCATAGTTCGATATTTGAAATCAATGGCGCTATATTCAAATCGACGTGATGTTTGCAAAATGAAGCAAGTTCGGTGTACTCTGAAGGTTGCGAACAAAGATTTCGATACACACCTACGTTGCGATTGACTGTTACTGCAAGTGTTAGAATATCCGGAATCCGACACCTTGGCATTCTCGGTAGATACCTCTTCCATCGTTCTCTTCTAATGATAGCTTTTCTTTTAGACGATATCCGTCGGATCACAACACTGTTGCTAAATCAAATAAACTTGATGCTCACGTATCATTTCTATATTTCGTGTCGATAAAGATGTTAGAAACTGACAAAGAAATACGCGAAGTCAAACTACTCGTAGTTATATGAACAAAGAGGAAAGATCCTTTATTTTTTGTATCGCATTCACTATCATTAATAATTAGATTAAAAATGATTCACCATCTGATTAATCGTAAAAAATTAGTAAATTAATTGGGAAATAGATACTTTCACTAATCTCTAATTGCTTCTCATAATAATATAATAGACACCACGATGCGTTCTAGACGATGATATCTATGAAGACTGAACCACACCGTGTGTCACATATCTATCGCGTAGAGTGACTGTTTCGCATCATGTTGCACGTTTGGTAACACGTGAGTTGTTACCCCTCTCCTAGCTTATTGTCAACCTATATCGATGCAAAACGTGCCCCACTTAACCCACTCGAACGACGAACACGATTAAAATAATCTCCTCCCTTACGACTTTGCGCTTGATTCCAACGCAGTTCATTGGCGCGAAAATTCTTCCTTGTATACCGGCGACATCTGCCGGCGATTTTTTTCTATGATCTTTTTCAATCCAAATTTAACGCGGTAGATTATATTCAGGAACCAATCAAAAACAACATAATATGATCTTTTTCTATAAAGATTATTTTATTGCACATTTTATGAACATATCAGAGAAATATGTTAAAAATAAATTATAAATATTGTATACTTCCAAAAATGTAGTATAAAAGTGGAATATAAAAAATGCAAGTACATATAACAATTTTTCTGATTGTCATGATTAATCTCCGTTCAGTAATAAAAAGGAGGAATTAAAAAATTATAATTTATTCTTTATATTTTATGTTTTATATATACAATAATAGTAATATCTTACTCTGCTATATCACAGTCATCAGGTACACATCTTAGAATCCTTGAGCTATCCTGAAAGTTAAAAGAAAAGACACATCAGGTTAATTATAGATAGATACAGTGTAGTAAAGTAGGACATTCTGTTCAGTGTAAAAAAAAAAAAAAAATAAGTGGAAGTCAGTGTGAGGTTTTGAATACTTAATGTGTATTTTAATATCATCAAACAAGTCAGTTACAGTCTCCTAAAACATCATTGCGTATGGTCATTGAGTAGAACAGTCTAACACATGTACAAAAGTGTCCATCATAAAACGTTCATGTTGTGCGTCAATTATTGGTATTTGACGAATTGTGATCATGGACGTAATATTAATTTCCTAAGAAAACGTACTGTCTTTAAAGAAATTTGATCTAATTGTAGAAAACAACATATCGATATATTTTGCAAATATATCTATACATATAAACAATGTAATGTTCAAGCGATTCCAAAACAAGATTTACTCATAATACTTTAGTGGAAAATTTTGTAATTTTCTCCTTTGTTTCTATGTCTATAATTTTATAATTATAAAAATTACTTTTATATTTACAAAAACACATAAAGTAATCAAATCTGATTAATAATACGACTTCTTAAATTTATTATGTACACCTGGTATTATTCAAATTAAGTTATTGTTGTAATAAAATACAATAAAACATAATACAATGTTTAGTTAGATATAGTTTTAATCTTCATAAAAATATTTCTAAAACTTCGTTATATTTATACTCATAAAAATATGATTTTTATTTATATCATGCAGAATTATAGCTCCTAAAACTACGTTTGCAAAGTATTTAAAAATAAAAGTATTATTCTGTAGAATATCTTGTTTTGGAATTTTAATTCTATGAAATATATTGTTATTCGTAATTACGAAAACATGTCTTGAAACATATACAAGAAGATATTTTACGTTTTCTTTCATACATATTATAGCTAATAAAAGAATAGTACAAAACTATTGGATATAAATTATAAACAAAAATTTGTTTCACTAATTCTAAAGCACAGGTTATATTTTAAAGCCTGCGCGAATAGTTAAAATTAATATTACAATTAATAATTACGTTTTTTGCTTTACAGGCAAAAATATAAAATATTACGAGATAATTTCATGTTGTATTCTCTTTTTTTTAAATTATTCGATTATTCGATTAATATATAAATAATTCATTTTTTTTTCCTTTTTACAAATTTGTTTGAATAGATTTTCATTTCAATATAATTTTAATACAAAAGTGTATGTTCATCCAGAAATATTCTTACCTCTGATTAATACCTGCAGTATATTACAATAATAAACGCCCCGAGTATATGGCATCATATACTTTTCTTGTGCTAAAGGAAAGTATTTCAAATTTAACTAATTTTGTGTTCTGTATATTCTTAACTTGAATATTTAAGATCACTTTTCGCACAGGCCTCTTAAAATAAAATTAGGAAGTCAGGTGTACGTGTAACGACATGTAAGGATAAAGTAAAGTAACGTTAAAGTTTCAGTAACGTTGAAATCGCGAACGTTAAACGGTAGTTAAAAGTAGGTAGTTGGAGTAGTTTCCTTGGATGCGGGCCCGACGTGGTCAAGTGAGTCTTAAAATTCGTCTCTTTTATTGCGTGCGTCCAGCTTGTGTATACCAGTCAGTCTGTGAAGACAAATAGAAAAATTACATTTTCTCCTGTTTTTTCAAGTAAAGTAATCGTCAGTTACAACGTCAGGGTGTTAATATTTAAATGTCTTTCTCTCTCCCTCCGTTCTTTTTGCCATGTACTCAGCGATTTACTTACGAGATATACAAAAAAAAATTTAGTTTTCATCTTCATCCGTTCGCAATCGTTTTCTACGATCTTCACCGACGTTGCGTTCTTCTGCTTCTAATACTTTTAACCGAGATCCACAAATCTCTTGTCCGTGTAAAACCTACAATTACCATAGTGCAAATTAATTATACCGCTTAAGCGTTTTGAAAATTTTAATTTGAAAAACTTCATTATAAATATAAAAAAATAAAATATGATACCTCAATTGCTTCGTTTGCACTCTGCACACTAGCATATTTTGCATAACCACAATTTTTGCCTGGAAGCATGTAAACATCTATAAGATTTCCAAATCTGCAAAAAGCATCCTTCATGGCATATATAGGAGGTACTGGAGGTCCACATACAATGAAACACCTTTTGGCAACTTCTGCATCTATACTAGCCATTGGTTGCACAGGTGGTAATTTAATACACATTGAATGCTCTAAACCTAATTATATAAAAAAAAAAATTATACAAAAAAATTATACATTATTATACTATATAGATAAAACAATCTTACTTGGTGCAGTTAATCCTGCAGCTTGAATTAAAGATGTAGCTTGAGCAATAGTTTCAGCTAGATGTGCTAAATCTGTTCTAGCACTAGCAATTCCACCTGTAGAACTACCAGGTTTTATTGCATTTTTCGGTGGTGCACTTGATAAATCTGGCTTGACTATCATTCTGTGACCAGGAGGATATTCAAAACCATGAAATTTTTCTCTTGCATATGCTGCTGCACTAGGATTAGAATATACCACAACAGCCTGACCCCTTGGCATTCTGTATCTTACATCATTTTTCAAATGACAATAATCCAAACCAGGTACAATGTCAAACAATTTCCATAATTGATCTTGATTTAATGCTGGATGTGCAATTACTTGCAAATGTGTATAACCTTCAGAATTAGGATAATTTGTAGCAATTTCTAAACTAATACTGCTCTTTCCAAAATTTGATGAACTATAACTTCCACCAGCACTATCATAATGAGAAGATAGTCCATTATTATATTTCACATCAATGTGTTCAGGTTTTGGCTTTTTTGGTTCTGCAAATACTGCCTTATACTTCCTATCACATTCTTCAAATGCTCTTGCTGCACTAGATACTTTTTTAAATTTCACATAACCAAAGCCTTTTGATTCATTTGTATTTCTATCTTTAACTACAGTTGCATATTCTATAGGTCCAAACTTTGAAAATTCTTGTTGAAGTTCATTGTCTGTCATAGACTTAGGCAACACACAAAATAAACGAACCCATCTTTCTTCTTCATTGGTTTCCCTAACAGATCCTTGATCACGACTGTAATAAATATCTATGTTTTTATATTTATCAATAAATGTATATGTGTATATCAACGAGGAAAATTTTTCAGAGACATTTTGGAGTAACTTACTTTGAAGCAATCATCACTTTAATAGGTCTTCCAACAGAACCTAACATTTTCCCATTCATTTCTTCAAGAGCAAAAGCTGCTTCTGATGTTTTTGAAAATTTAATGTACGTAACTCCTAGATAAACAATGGATATTATTTTTTAAATACTTAAATAATTCATAAAAAGCATATAAAAGAGCAATTTTAGATAAACTTACAAATATACAAATTGATAAAAAATAAAATAAGTTTTATTGATTTCTTCTGTAAGCAAGAGAAATTACCTTTATTTTCCCCTGAAATTCGATCTTTAACTACCCAAATGTCTTCAATCTTTCCAAATTTTTCAAAGGCTTTTCTAAGATCATCTTCTTCCAGACTTTTGTGGCATATAACAAATAAACGTGAATTTGGTGGATCATCATTTTTTGATCTTAAATCCGTTTGTGAATAATACGATTCTCTTTCCCTGTGGTCAGCCATTTTGCAAATGAACGATGCAGACTACGTCGCCCGTCTACGGTCAGTAAAACCAACACGCTTCAGGGACGGCTAAAATAAGGTTCTCCAAGATCAATTTTCCAATATGTACATAATATTTTTTAGAATTTCATTCATGTAGTATGAAATATTAGTTGCACGTTTAATGTTACTTTAAATTCATTTTGATGAAATTACATCAAAAATTTCTTTTTATTTAAATTTAATATTTTTTAACATAAATCACATCTTATGTCATTAATAAGAATGATCATTTTATGACACAATCATATAAATTCGATGTTTTAATAATAATAAAAATTTACGTGTATATAATTATAACGAGTTTTGATAATAAAAATTTACGTGTATATAATTATGTATATAATAATTAGGTAGAGGTAATGACCAATAGTTTTTACAAAGTTTTATTTAATTTCGATGATTCATGGCGCGAAATTATACTTAGATTTCCATTTTAGTTAATATCATTGTATTGTAAGTCTAAATAATTAAATTTTTAATTTCTTAATTATTTCTTAATTAAAAATATTAATATTTAAAATAGCAATATTTGAGAATGTATAGTATAGCAATAGTAATAGTAATAGTAATTTTTTTAACAACGGATAGGTTAGACTAAATACTTTCACATTGATTTAACAAAAGTGTTGAACGACTTCATAAGATATGCTCTATTATTTTCTCATAATACAAACTTTCTTATATGAAAGAGATATGTAGGTAACCATATATTATTACTGTTTTCATTTCCTGGCTAAATATACATTCTTTTCATATATATTGATATACATACATACATATATATAAATACATTCTTTTCAAACGCACTTATGTACATATATATAATGCTTATATTATACAAAATTAAAAAAATTAAAAATAAACAATAACTTTATTTAACATATCAGTTAATTTAGTTAAGGAAAAGTAAATAATTCTTACACAGAGATAAATATGAAATTTTTTTAATAAATTTATAACTTTTTAAACAAAACATTTCGACATTTTTACACAACCACTGTTAGATTTATCAACCATTAATTTATAAACATTAACTTTATCTGTATGTATTTACATTTTATTACCATAAAATTGACAATTATACATCGTATGTAGATGCAGATACATTTCCACCATGTCCAGTCCAATTAGTATGGACAAATTTTCCTTCTTGACCAAGTAATTCATAAGTGTGAGCTCCAAAATAATCCCGCTGAGCTTGAAGTAAATTTGCTGGAAGTCGAGCAGTTCTATAACCATCATAGAAGGCTAAAGCTGTTGATAGTGCAGGAGTTGGTATGCCTAATGTTACAGCTGTAGATACTACTACCCTAGCGCTAGCTTGACATTCCTTCATTGCATTAGCAAAGAAATCATCCAATAATAAATTGGAAAGTTTTGGATTCTTTTCAAATGCTATTTTTATATTTCCCAAAAATGCACTGAAAGTAAAAACAAGTAAAAAATTTTATTAAAAATTATTATTTAAGAATATTAAATTTCAATAAAAATTTAAATACCTTCTTATAATACATCCTCCTCTCCACATAAGAGCTATTCCACCATAATTCAAATTCCAATTGAAAATTTTGGCAGCTTCTCTTAATAACATAAATCCTTGTGCATAAGAAATAATTTTGGAGGCATAAAGAGCTTTTTTTAAATGTTCTAGGAATTGTTTTTTATCGCCTTGATATGTAGCATCAGGTCCTTTCAACACTGCGCTTGCTTCTATTCTTTCACCTTGTAAAGCAGAAAGACACCTAGCAAAGACTGATTCTCCTATTAGAGTTACAGGTACTCCATAATCTAACGCTGCAATAGCTGTCCATTTTCCAGTTCCTTTTTGACCAGCTGTATCCCTAATTCGCTCTAATAAATATCCTTTCTCATCTTTGTATTTAAGGATATCTCTAGTAATTTCAATCAAAAATGAATCAAGTTCTCCTTTATTCCAATCATCAAAGGTTTGACTCATCTCTTCTGCATTAAGTTTTAAACCATTTCTCATAATGTGATATGCTTCGCAAATAAGTTGCATATCACCATACTCAATACCATTGTGTACCATTTTTACAAAATGACCTGCACCTGTTTCTCCGACCCAATCGCAACAAGGTTCTCCATTGACTTTTGCACAGATTGACTAAGAAAGAAAATATTTTATTATTAATGTATATTTAACTAACTTAATTTATTATCTATAAACTAAATTTTTAAATAAATATATTTTAATATATTTTAAAAAATCACCTGGAAGATTTGTTTAATATGCGGCCAAGCTTTAGGATTTCCACCTGGCATCAAAGACGGTCCATATCTAGCACCATCTTCACCTCCACTAACACCACTACCGACAAATAAAATTCCTTTTTTTTCTAATTCTTTGGTTCGTCTATCAGTATCTTGATATTCTGAATTACCACCATCAATAATAATATCTCCAGGAGATAATAAAGGTACTAATTGTTCAATAAATGCATCAACAGCTGCACCAGCTTGAAACATAATATATTAATATTTCAATATTATATTAGCTTATATTATATTATAGCTAACATAATATTAGCTTATATAAATATTTTAAGTATAATTTTTAAATATTTTAAGTTATATAAAGAAAACCGAATAAATTTTATCATCAATTAATTTAAATGCCATTTACAAACTTTTAAAGATCATAGCTAATAATAGTTCATTAGACGTTCAAATTTTTGTCCTTAAACTCGCAATTTATAAAAGAAAGTTACCTTTTACCAAAAGCATTACTCTTTTTGGTGATTTTAATTTGTCTACCATTTCTTTCAATGTATATGCACCAATAATTTTTGTGCCTTTTGCTTCATTTTCTAAAAAGGATTTAACTTTATCTGTTGTACGATTATAAGCGCACACGACAAATCCATGATCATTCATATTTAGAATCAAATTCTGACCCATAACAGCCAGCCCAATAAGGGCAATATCAGCAACTCTATAAATGAAAATGTTTATTATACTAGGAATTATTTAAAATTGTATATTTTACACTATGTTATTTTACATTATATGTTATATATTTATTACAATACATATAAATAAAAAAATATTTTCTAAATTGATTTCAATATAACATTTATATTATCTATGTTTCTTACTTCTTTAAATGATTATTCGATCGATTAATTGTTTATTAAAATTAACTTAAATAAAAGTCGTTATATAAACCACATTATCGGAACTTACTAAAAATAATTATTTAAATTTTTTTATAATTTACATTTATAATTTGTTAAAAATAATATAAGAATTACTCACGGTTTACTCATGTTAGTAATTTTTTTCTTCAAAATAATATGATTCGATTTTATATCAAAGATCAACAAGTGGTCGATTGCCACGAAGATCAAGAATGAACATTCGTACTGGACACTGGAGTAGATTCGACATCAGCCGACGTTTCGTAAGCCAATCGCAGTGCACACCAAGGTCAAAGTTAACACTGTGGACACTATTATAAGTTTCATAATTTAATCACTATCTAGACATATTATAAATGTAATATTAAACGATAATTAAAATGATAGAAAATTATTAAATAAACTTGTTATCTTATTATTTAATAATTATGAAAACTTGGCCTTTATAAAAATAGTATATCAGTGAAAAACACATTTATATTATAATACAGAAGAAAAATTAAATTAATATAATTTCGTAACGCTTTTTACGAAATATAAAGAAGTGTACTTTTTTTTGTAAAGTATCAAAATATTAAAGTTTGATTTATACTTTATTTTATAATAAAATTGCTTTTATTAATAGTTTCAAATCAATGTCTTTATTATATGGATTACAATTTTTAATACTGTGGTTCATTTTAATAAACATCGTGGTTAATAATATTAATATTTATTAACTATTTTATTATTACTACTTAAATATTTAAAATCTTCGTAATTATGTACGTGAACTTTGTCCAATTACTCGTTTCCTTATTTTGTTGAAAAAAAAGTTAGATAATGATTCAGCAAAATCAGTTAGATAATTTTATATGATAAAAGGTGTTTCAAGTGGATTTTTGTTTTACGCGCGTTTAACTAAGAATTCTTTAGCTCCAATCACTGTATGTATATACAGAGCTGACATCAGTTTCAGTTATTGCTTCACGATGATTGGACACATCAGACGTATGGATGTTTTAATTGGAAACGCAACATGTCGCGATTTGCTTGATTAGATTAGGGAAGGTCTTCGTATATTTCTTTCACTTTTGGGTTATCCTTAGTGTATTTTCAACAGTTTGCAACAGTTCTTAAGTATATATTTCTCATTATAATGTATCAATAATGACACAAATTTATCACAAACATGTTGGAAAAGGACTTGACAGAAAAATATACATAACCCTCTGACAATGAGATGTCCCATTTCTGAAACTAAATACACCTTTTTTATGAAGAAAAAGACTGCACGGAAACACGATTAAATATATATTAGTATCGAGTGGTTCACCAATATGGGATTATTATTTGCAAAGTTGTGGAGTTTTTTTGGCAATGAAGGTAAATTTAACATATAAATGTAGTAACAATATTGTTACTTATTGCACTGCTTTGTGCATAGCATCTATATATTCGTATTTAATAACATGTGAGGAATATTAAAACCTAAATGTAAACAAGAATTATTAGTTTTATTTTTTTTTTATTTTTAATGAATTTTTTATTTATATATGAAAATAATTTATAAAATATCAAGATTTCTTTTGACAATTTTGCAGTCAAACATCAATAAAAAAATTAATTTATTCAAATAATATACTCTCTAATATACTCTATAATAAACTGTGTAGCTTTATTGGTATAATTAATATGTTTTCTGAAAAATTCTTTAAATTTTTGTAGTCTTTAAATATGTGTTAACATATTTGTCCCAGATATTTTTCTTTGACATTATAAAGCAAACATGAAGTTTGTATGTAAAGTTTATAATTATATAGCTCATTTAAATTCTTATTTTACTCTAATTAAATTTTTTTATCTTTCAGAACATAAAATAGTTATGGTCGGTTTAGATAATGCTGGTAAAACAACCATATTGTACCAGTTCCTAATGAATGAAGTTGTTCATACATCACCAACTATTGGATCTAATGTTGAAGAAGTTGTTTGGAAAAATATTCATTTCATAATGTGGGATTTGGGTGGACAACAAAGCCTGAGAGCCGCATGGTCCACGTATTATACTAATACTGAGTTTATTATTATGGTTATAGATAGTACAGATAGAGAAAGACTTGGTGTAATAAGAGAAGAATTATACTCAATGCTAAATCATGAAGAATTAAGTAAAGCCAATGTCTTAGTTTATGCTAACAAGCAAGATTTAAAAGGTAGCATGACAGCAGCTGAAATTTCTAGACAACTAGATTTAACTTCTATTAAAAAGCATCAATGGCATATACAAAGCTGCTGTGCCCTTACAGGAGAAGGGTAAGAAAAAACTTTAGTCACAATTAGAGTTACAATGTTATTTATAAAAGTAATAAATTTTTTTGTCTTGTAATGTTTTAGGCTTTATCAAGGTCTTGAGTGGATTGTTGGTCGTTTAAAAAAGACATGACGTACATTATGAGGATTGATTTTGAATGTAATAAGATACCTAAATTGTAAAGTACATGTTCAATGTAAGTTACTGTGCCACTCTAACGATTGTACAAATGATATGAGAATGAATGATCATTTTTCAAATGGTACACTAGCTTCATAACTTAAAGTGTAACTGCATATACTGATTAACATTATTGCTGCAGACACTTAATGTATCAAGTGGTGGACGGGTAAATTTTGTCTTATCTATTAATGTGATATAAAATATAATGGCAAATGATTATGATATAAAATTAAAATAATGTTTTAACTATTCTCTGTGTAAAATATATTTAAAACATCATGTTATAAGAAAATGGAAAAATTTAGAATATCCAGAGTCTTTTATAGAAAATATTGTTGCATTAAGAAAAGTATCTATAGTAAAAAATTTTTTTATCTGTGTATAAGAAGATATATATTATGAACACTTTACAGCAGGACTGCCAAATGTAATGTATGGTCTACAAACATCTGATTATTTATTGCTATAAATGCTATATTAAAATTGCAGTCTCAAAGCTACCAAATTTTATTTTTGATTCAGTAACAAATGTAATAAAAGTTGCATGCATATTTGAATGATAAGGAATTTAATCTTGATCCCGTCCACCTGTGTTTATATAACTATAAAAATAGATTATTTATTCGTTTTATTAAGTTAATGTGCGGATAATTATTTGGCCTGTGCAGTTTCCAAAAATATACCTATGTACATAGTTTTTTATACTCCACATTAATAGTAAATAATTGTAAAAAGTCAACTTCAATTTAGCACCAATTAAACCACATATTTTTTAACGTTCTGTATAAGAATTTAAATATTTCTTGTAGCTTAATGTTGCAAACATCTTTAAGAATTTCAAAGCAAGTTATTCAACCAGTCTAACTAAACATTTAGAAGCAGAAAATTGCTCTGTGATATGTGAGATGGTTGTTTATTAGGAATATTTAATTTGACTTGTGTATGAAATATAATTTGTTTCATATAAAACTCATACAGTTGTAAAAATATCTATCATGTTTTCTGACATATTATGAATTATTCTAAGTATTATTAATCTTTAACCATCTAATTAATAACAACTATCTCATTTATTTTATTTACTCCATGAATGTAGTAAACACTTGTGTAGTTCAAAATACTCCAGTATTTAACAATTAATAAAACTTAAAATACATAGTAACATATGGAAAAGATGATTCTAGGAATTGTTAAGATCATTATGTGAAAGACAAATGCCGTCTAAAGCCAGAGTGAGATCGTACATTTCATAAAAATAAATAGCAGTTTTCTCATATTGAGAAATTAAGCAATTAATTGTCTATATACTTATCATTGCAGATGCACGACATTATAATATATACTATCGTTAACAAAGTTTTCATTATATAAAAATTTTGAAATACAATGCAAGTTACAGATTGCTTTATTTTGTTAAAACTACACAAATGAATCAAATATATGTGTGTATTTAAGCTTCTTATATGGTTAAATTTTAATGAAACAAAATTTCAAAAATTACTGAATTCAAAAATGCTTGTTTTGAATTCATTATTTGTTAATTAACTAATATAATAAGCACGAAATGTTCGCGTATAAGGTTGTTAATTAACGTAAGGACTGAAATTAATGTAAAATAAATTTATCAAACTTTCTTTTATGAGAAGTAAACAAAGCACCATGTACTGTAATATATAATTTCCTACCCTCTTTCATTTCTACATTTTATTAATTTGATATTTTCAAATTTTATTAGTTTAATAAAATAATAAAATTATATATAGCGTTGAGTACGATACAAGATTATGGTAAATTATATACATGTTATATTAATTTTAATAAATGAACAGTAAATTTTATTATAATTTTATCTTAAAATTCTTTTGAGCGTATTATATTTTACTATGTGTTATTTATCCCTTTGATATTTAATAACAATTAAAATGTCTAACAATTAAAGATGTATAATAAGTAAACAGTTCAACATGTATAACTATATTTGTGATTTTAACAAATTCATATTTTAACACTTTTAATCAATAAATATTTACATATTTTATATTTTTAATTATCTTGTCTTTTAATTAAAAAGAAGTCAAATATAATTTTTGAAGATCTATTTATTTTCACGTTTGTTATAAATAAAGTATCGCACACACTCATTCATTCTTGTAACAGTGGATCTATCACTGATCATCACTTTTTTAATTTATATTAATCGAAATAGCTCGATGTAATTGAGCACAGCGTTTTTTAATGTTTTTAAAGAATCTAAAACCAACAACTGGTGCGCTAGCACTGCAAAATTTTTTATACATTTTAACCCTATTTATTTTCTATTTTACGTAGTTTGCTAAGAACTATTACTATTTTGTAAATTCTTGCTGGTAGAACGTTTTTTAATTATCACACAATAATCTTTTCATCTAATGATAAAAATAATTATTGTAATTTGCTAAAAATTATCTGATATATTTTTGGCAGTGTCTGTTCAATTTACAATATTTGAAAAATCTTCACTATGCACACGTAGTTTTTCCAATAAATGTTTTAATAATTTATTAACTTGTATTATAATGAACTGTATCACTTTTATTTTTGAAATTGTTGCTATATAAGTCACTATTAAACATAAAATGACAAATATATTTACAATAAATTTTTATCTATTGTTCATGCGTGTATTACAGTTTTTTAAAAGGCTTGGCAGGTAAACTATGTATAATGAACAAATTCATATTTTTCGTAGCTTATTTCATGTCGCAAAAACTTCATCTTATTTGTACGAAATCTGTGTTATTAACAGAAAAAAATACAAGAATGCTGTTAAAATATGTAGTTTTTGCAATATAATAAACTGCGAAACTTAATACATCTACGTTCAAAAAATACATAATTACATGAGATAATTACTTATTTTAATACCTCACATCTTTTTAATAAGATTCAATAATTAAAACGACTTCCTTGAAGTCATATTGAAATGAATTCGAAATGAAGCTCGGTTTTCTGTGTATTAATAACATTTCTTCTATGATAAAATTTTGAAGCAATGATGATATGAAATTAAAAGATTTTAATGATTCTGATTTTTCATAAATAAAGATGTTTATTTAGCACCGACGAGTTTCTTAAGCAAATCAGTGCTTAAAGATTTGGGCCTTTCTATCGGAAGACCTAGGGCTCGGGACCAGACGAGAGAAGCTAAAACACCAAGAGCACGCGATACTCCGAACAGTACAGTGTAATAATTCATCTCCTTCATTCCATAATATTGCAATAGAACTCCCGAATGGGCATCTACATTTGGCCATGGGTTCTTTACCTTGCCAGTTTCCGTAAGGACGGGAGGAACTATTTTGTATATTTGAGAAACAAGCTAAAAATATACAAGTATAATCATTAATCAAGAATAAACTGGTAACTTGATATAAATATTAAAGAAGTTATTGAATAAATTTACCTTGAATAGTTTGTCATCCGGTAAGTGTTTCAGTGCAAATTCTCTCTGGCATGTATACCTAGGATCAGTTTTTCTGAGTACGGCATGGCCGTATCCAGGAACGACTTGACCGCTTTTTAGCGTGTTCCAAATGAACTCCTTTAATTGTTCATCACTGGGACTGTCTCCAACCTTTTCGCGCAATTTTTCTAACCATATTAACACTTCTTGATTTGCAAGACCATGAAGTGGACCAGCCAAGCCGTTCAATCCAGCGGCGAATGACAGATATGGGTCAGACAATGCCGAACCCACCAAGTGAGTGGTGTGTGCAGATACATTACCACCTTCGTGATCAGAGTGAATCGTCAGATATAAACGTAAAAGTTCGGTGAATTGTGGGTTATCGTAACCGAGCAAGTTCGCGAAATTCCAAGACCAATCTTTGCCCGCATCGACGCTTCCTACACCTTTACCACCCTTATAGATGTTTCGATATATCGTTGCAGCTACTGCAGGTAATTTGGCGATCAAGTTCATTGTATCTTCGTAAGCGGGCTCCCAATATTTGGACTTGTGTATGCCTCCCGTGTATGCTTTCACGAATTCACTCTCGCTGTTTAGAAGAGTGATGGCGGCAGAGAATTGAGTCATGGGATGAATCGATTTGGGCAAGCTGTTTAGAGCTTTGACCACGTGATCAGGTAATGCGCTTCTGCTAGCCCATTCCTGGGAAATTGCTTTAACTTGAGCGTCAGTGGGAATGTCGCCGGTAATCAAAAGCCAGAATAAACCTTCCGGAAGTGGTTCTTCGCCGCCCTTAGCTTTTGGTAGAAGTTTCTGGCACTCTGGAATCGATTTTCCTCGGAATCTAATACCTTCTTCAGGATCCAAGACTGACGGTTCCCATATAAGTGCTTTAATTCCACGCATACCACCGTACATCTGAAAAGTAACAAAAGGTTATCATGTAATATTAACATCAAATGTAAAAACATAGAATAAAAAAGGAGGAACTAGTTCATCGACATCGATTTCCAATGTAACAACTGCAAGAAGCACATTTTGAACTGTTTTGATGAATGTTACTTTCATATTAACCAAGATTTAATTTTACATGTAAGAATGGAGAGAGAGAAAGAGAGAAGAATATGTAACGTAGTATGTAAAAAGGAAGAAAAAAAATTACATAATTTCTTGTTGAATTAAAACTCATTAAATTATCAGATATAAATTAGTAAGTCGTTAATTACAAAAAATTTTATCATTTTCAGAAAATGTAATATTCAAGGAATATAGCTCGTGGAATATGAAATTTGAGAGTTTCTAGGATTTTAAACATCCAGAATTTTTCCCAACAAACCTAAAGATCTGTCTGTATCGCAAACACATGATAAGCACGCGGCATATGCGCTGATTCCTTGGTCCTTATCATTTATCGCTATTACAAAAAAAAATTGTACTATGTCTTTCATAGTGAGATTCAACATTCTCCACGTGGCTTGGTATTTAACACGTAATCTTTATCGCGTGATGCGTGTATGTATTGGTGTTGCTACCATGTTCGACAATTTATTCATCAGATGTTCAACATGAAAAGATACACGACGTTGGTGGAAATTGCACAACGAGCATACCATATCCACAGTAACTTCTCCAACTTTGGTGGATCCACATGCTTTACGGAACGTCTTGATACGCTCCTGTTCCTTTGGAATTTTTTCGCCCAGAACCTTTTTCAGGTCAGTAGAAGCATCGCTCAATGATCTTGCGAATACGATCGAAGTTTTTTTCTGTAAGAGCAAAAGAAGAAAATTAATTATCGCAATTATACTTTGATAACTGTATATTTTTTTAAAATCTATCGATGTCTATGTGCCGCGAGAGAATTTAATTTTTGTTATTTTTAATTTTTTAATTTTTAATTTTCGTTATTTTTCAATTGTGTAAAAGTAGATCGTTGATAATAATTACAAGCAATTCGACGACGTAAATATTTCTCTTTTGGAATAATTTTTTCTCATTTTGCGCGTTTATGTTGAACAACAATACCATGTAATTTGATAACATAAATATTTCTTTAGCTTCATGGCTTTATGACATGCAATCAAATTCTCATTATGGATAAAATTCTAACGAATAGACACGTTATTAGTTACGTCAACGAACAATCATGGATAACTACCAGATTACGTAAAAAAAAAAAGAACAGCTATATATAATGACACATTTCGTCGATTAAGGATATACGTGAAAAAAAAAAAACTAACTTCCGTGCAAATATCGTAATCACTCTAAACGTGACACCTATTACAGAAACGTCGTCTACAGAGAAATTTATTTTTTTTTGAAATGTAAAACTTTTGAACTAATTGAACAACACTTTTGTACCTTTTACTTTGAACAAACTTATAAAATAAAATAGTTAGAAGACAATATGATAATACAGAATGATTTAAATTTTTGTTAATGTTACAAACTGCTTGGAATAATTTCCTTCTCATGCATATTACATTAACACGATATTATAATCATAGAAATCTACGATTTCGAGTAAACGATACGAGCATTACTCCGTGCCTCGCAAAAGAGTCAACGTTCATAACAATTCTAATAAATCAAGCCACGCATGAGGTCGCAAGGTCTCGCGTTAAAGTTCATTATCAATGAGTACGCGCATTGATAAAACGTATCGGTAAAAACGTAAAAATTAAAAGAATTTATTTCACCAGAAAAGTACAATTCTCACGTTTAATTTCTATTATCTCTTCTGCCTTCTTCGTTTTATTATTTCTCACACGCACATTTTTATTTCTGAGGTAACACGGTTAATAGATATTGATAAACCTCTTACGCGATAGCAATTAACCATTCGCGTTCTTGGAGTGACAGAAAAAAGAAAAAAAAAAGAAAAAAAGATTATTTCAGAAACGCGTGTCATGATTAAGTCGATAATTATGTCATATGTTTCTTTCTTCTTTCTTACACGTATTTTTAGATTATTAGATATTTTATACTTTCCTATCTTCGAGCATTTCCATCGAGCACGAGGAGTCATTGTCTGCAGCAGACTAGCGTAGAAATCTCTAGATAGCGGTAAATGCAGGCTGAAATGCTCGGTGAGCAGCAAACATCGATTCACGACCGCATTTTGCAATGTGTGAATGAGAAATTAGGCCGAGGTGAAATCACGATGGGAAGGTGAAGCAGAGCATCCAGTGGAGATTTGTAAATTTCGATATTATACTGAACTTCGATTTGTCCGATTCCAAAATAGCAAAATCGATTTTTACATTTGCCTCGTGCAAAACGGGTCAGGTTCTCTTCCTCGTCGGGTCATTGCACATTTTTCAAAATACAGTTCACTCTTTGCAATAGAATTTTTAAGATAAGAGACCATTCGTGTTCATCGAATTATCGATCAAATGTTTCAATTTGTTTCGGTAGTTACTTATACTCTTCTAAGTTGATCGCAATGTACAATAAAATGGAATTCTAAGAGTTATGACAAATAATTATTAGACGAACTTTTTTTGAACTGCATCTCCCTCGTTATAAGTATTATAAGGGCAAGTATATTTAAATCGGCAAGTTGTTGGAAGATTTTTATATTAAACATGTAATCTAAAGATGTGATCCTTTCTGACCTGATAGATGATCCTTTTGAGTGACAGACCATTAGATCTCTTTGATTCCTATACAAGCGTAGTATGTAATATGTGATTATATCACATACTCTGGATGAGACCATCTTCAATGTACTATATACTGTTGAGTAGGAATCACCAATGACCTTGGCCTTTCTATTAAATTTGTCATTCATCTTATAAGATCACTGCACACGTGCCTGTCTACACATGTATATGTGTACACACGTATCGAGATACATCTTCCAATTATATACAAATAACGATTACTCGAACGAAAATAGTATCACAAAAGTATCGTTTAATTATAACACGGAAGTTGAATCTGTTACATAAGTTCTGATCTAATCAATTTCATTTGTAAAAGCTCGATCATTGGCTCGCGGAAAGCTGTAGAAAGTGAACGGTACGACGTGTATATTTAACGAATGATTAATTTTAAATCTGTTGCGAAAGAGACTAGCTCGGCGTCGATGTTAATATTGTAAGATCACAATGTACATACGTCCCTTTTTCAGCTAACGTACTGTACTTACTTACAAGTGTTACTAACTAAACTTACTAAACTAAACTAAACTAACTAAACTTACGAGTGTAACTAACTGTACTTACTAAAAGTTCATCTAGAACATTATTAAACACATGACAAAATGTTTCGTCTGCATACAGGCCAGAGTTTCAAATACTGACTAAAAAAATAAATAGTTCTATAATCTATGCTACATAATGCATACATGATGAGAAAATTGGTATGCGAAGTTTTGAAGTTCAAAGTGTCACAATTCGATGGATGAATTAATTTGGCCACCAAATTCGACATTTGAGGTCCAAGAACAAACTCCTCTGTATTCATACGGATGTTTTATAAGATCCAACATATTTATACAACAGTTAAATAATTTTTGGAGTAATCGTTCAGTTACATATATAAGTATATATATATATATATATATATTGCATCAATAAATGGCATTTAAAAATGTAATAAAGGAGTTTAAACATATAATTTTCTTTTAATAATTAGTTCTGAAGAAAAATAATTATCTGAATACTATGCATACTTATCATTTTTTGACGTTAAGATATCAATTACAATTCAGTATATGCATCATGCATCGGTGAAATCGAGTTCTAAGTTCGTTGCATTCCAAGAATTTGTTGCTTCAACTGCGAGCAATAATATACTTATACTTGGTACGTAATGTAAGACGGATATCAGATGTTAACCACAACGATGTAACGAAATACTAATTGAATAGATTGACACTGACTTTTATTTCGTTTGTACGTATGATAAATCAGATCGATAGTTAACCTACGTTGATTTAATTTCATCGCCATCACTGGCTCATCAATTCAAATTCAAACAATATTAAAATTTCATAATTCTATTTATCTATATTCGTATTCGTCGCAACTGTACTTGCAACAGAAATAATAAAATACTGTTTCTGAAGAAGTGTGTGCGCGATTTGAAATAGAATTGTCACTTTATCTCTTTATCAGAAGAACTTGGAAGTTTCTAAATAACCAGTGCATAATAAATTCTGGTTGAACAATTGTAATAAATGAAATTGTAATAAATGACCATAGATAAAGCATAGAATCAAGGTATGGATCAAAAGAGATCTAAATTTCAAAATTAAATGTTAACTTTCCACCATAAATGATGAATCTTCGGTCCATTTTATGGCACTTACAAATTGACTTGGGTCG